AACAAATGTCATATACAAATAGTTAACATATGTCACATACAAATAGTCAACAAATGTCATATACAAATAGTTAACAAATATCATATACAAATAGTTAACATATGTCACATACAAATAGTCAACAAATGTCATATACAAATAGTTATACAAATAGTCAACAAATGTCATATACAAATAGTTAACATATGTCACATACAAATAGTCAAATGTCATATACAAATGTCATATACAAATAGTTAACATATGTCACATACAAATAGTCAACAAATGTCATATACAAATAGTTAACATATGTCACATACAAATAGTCAACAAATGTCATATACAAATAGTTAACATATGTCACATACAAATAGTCAACAAATGTCATATACAAATAGTTAACATATGTCACATACAAATAGTCAACAAATGTCATATACAAATAGTTAATATATGTCACATACAAATAGTCAACAAATGTCATATACAAATAGTTAACAAATATCATATACAAATAGTTAACATATGTCACATACAAATAGTCAACAAATGTCATATACAAATAGTTAACATATGTCACATACAAATAGTCAACAAATGTCATATACAAATAGTTAACAAATATCATATACAAATAGTTAACATATGTCACATACAAATAGTCAACAAATGTCATATACAAATAGTTAACATATGTCACATACAAATAGTCAACAAATGTCATATACAAATAGTTAACATATGTCACATACAAATAGTCAACAAATGTCATATACAAATAGTTAACAAATATCATATACAAATAGTTAACATATGTCACATACAAATAGTCAACAAATGTCATATACAAATAGTTAACATATGTCACATACAAATAGTCAACAAATGTCATATACAAATAGTTAACAAATATCATATACAAATAGTTAACCAATTCTTAATATTATTTTGCTCGGAAATAGTTAACATTTTGGTATATTCAATTAGATATAGCGAAATCATGCCTTGGACGCTGGAGCAAAAGATCTTTTGTATGAAGACATATTAGGAAGCTATGTCTTTCTAGATTGTTCAAGCGAGTTCAATTTCAAATCCTTTCCAAACAGGAGCCAGATTTTCAAGTGGCTCAAGAACATTTAAGCTCAAAGCATTTGAGAAAATCTTAGTACTACAGGTTCCTCCCCAAAAACAATGTGTACACGTTATCAACAACTTGGTTCATCGCATTCAGCAGCGCATTCGACGGTCGTCCTGACATTTGTGGTTCATGTTTGAGACTAAATGTTTGCAGGTCCTAAAGTATTATCATTTTATCATTCAATAAATGTAATTGCCATTACTCTATCATTTGCAATCCCTGGCTTGTGGTCGATCATTTTGTTTCAAAAATTGTGAAACACCCTGTATTTGTAAATCATTAATTCATGTACTGTAAACATTTTAATGTAATATCATGTTCATATGATAAATCTATCATTGGAATTTTAACCAGTAATATCTGTTTTTATTATAGATATTGTCTGTTTGTTTTGTTTTGTTTTACGGCATATCAAACTAAAAGGGTCATTTGATGCCGCCAAATTTTTTTTCCTGGTAATATGTTTGTTTTGTCAAAAATCTATTTCTGGTAACATTTTTTCCTCAAGAATATTTAGCTGGTAATATAATTTAAAAAAAAAAACGTATTGCTGGTAATTGTTTTTCTTCTTCAAAAATTTATTTCTGGTAATAATTTTTTACAAGTATTTCTGATATTAAAACCTAGTTTTAAACTTTCATAATGCCTTTTAACTCAGTTTCGGGGCTAACTATTTTCCCATAGCTGGGAACACCAGCAATTAAGAGGTGGTTCCACGCTTCTCAAAGCCTCCTGATCAGAGGCCTTGCTGTTGGACATAGCTTATCGTCTTACTCTCGACGCGGATGTAGTTTATCGTCTTACCCAGGACGCGGATGTAGTTTATCGTCATACCCTGGACGCGGATGTAGTTTATCGTCTTACCCTGGACGCGGATATAGTTTATCGTCATACCCTGGACGCGGATGTAGTTTATAGTCTTACCCAGGACGCAGATGTAGTTTTTCGTCTTACCCAGGACGCAGATGTAGTTTATCGTCATACCCTGGACGCGGATGTAGTTTATCGTCTTACCCTGGACGCGGATATAGTTTATCGTCATACCCTGGACGCAGATGTAGTTTATCGTCTTACCCAGGACGCGGATGTAGTTTATCATCTTACTCAGGACGCAGATGTAGTTTATCATCATACCCTGGACGCGGATGTAGTTTATCGTCTTACCCTGGACGCGGATATGGTTTATCGTCATACCCTGGACAGAGGTAGTTTATCGTCTTACCCAGGACGCGGATGTAGTTTATCATCTTACTCAGGACGCAGATGTAGTTTATCATCATACCCTGGACGCGGATGTAGTTTATCGTCTTACCCTGGACGCGGATATAGTTTATCGTCATACCCTGGACAGAGAGGTAGTTTATCGTCTTACCCAGGACGCGGATGTAGTTTATCATCTTACTCAGGACGCAGATGTAGTTTATCATCATACCCTGGACGCGGATGTAGTTTATCGTCTTACCCTGGACGCGGATATAGTTTATCGTCATACCCTGGACGCAGATGTAGTTTATCGTCTTACCCAGGACGCGGATGTAGTTTATCATCTTACCCAGGACGCAGATGTAATTTATCATCATACCCTGGACGCGGATGTAGTTTATCGTCTTACCCTGGACGCGGATATAGTTTATCGTCATACCCAGGACGCAGATGTAGTTTATCGTCTTACCCAGGACGGAGATATTGTCTGAGATTTTATGAATGAAAGCCTGGGAGGTTAATGGCTTCATAAATAAAAAAAAAACAACAAAAAACAGACAATATTCGTGCTATTACTAATTATTGTTCGATATATAAAGAAAGCATATTTTGTCTACAGCCTGTCTGAAGTTATTTTGCAAATCAAATAAACCTTAATAACTAAAAAGTTCTGAACCAATATTTGTCAAATTTAATCTGGTCTATTTCCGCACGAAGCAAAATATTTACATAAATTTTCTAACATTTTTAATGATTAATGTTCGAGATATTTGCTATTTACGAAAATGGACTGACTGAAATTTTTATGCAGATTAAACTAACAGTAGCTTACGACCGCTGAAATCTTTTTTTTCTTTTTGTCCATAATATATGTTGAAACATGGGTAAAGGGAAGAATCTAACAACTGCTGAAAACAGACACGAACAAAATTATTGAGTGAGGGAATGTGCATATTGTAGATATCAAAGGAGTTTTGCAGAGCCCTTTGAACAATAGATAATGCTGTTGAAAAAATAAGATGAGAATTCGAATCAAAGGAAAAGGATTTATGATTTTCGTTCCTCGAGATGAACGTAAACTAAAGCAACTTATAGCGAAACAATCACTTTTGACCAGCGCTTAGATCTGTGAAAAGGCTGGAATCGAAGGAGTAAAGAAGGGCAAAAGGTACAGAATAATTTGTGAATTGGGATTTATAAAAAAAAATCTCCTAGGATACCTCCTCACTAAAGCAAATATTTTAAAAAGTCAAAATTACGCCAAGAAATATATGAAAATTGAATTTTCTAAAGTCATTTTCACGGATTAAGATTGAGTGACATTTGATGGACCTGATAGATGGAACAAAGGATATATTTTATTCAATTAAGATGTGCCTGTGGCTAAAAGAAAGCAACAAGGAGGTGGTTGCTTTATGATATGGGCTGAAATTGTCGACTAAACCATTATTGGATTATTAAAATTGATGAATGAAGTTAAACGGAGCAGTGGTTTTATGAACAAGACTTTCTTTGCGTGGTACAAGTCCCAGTCTTGTAGTTTCAAAGTGAAGTGTGCATTTATGCACGACAATGCTCCTTTTTATGTATCTAAGCTTACCTGTGAATTCTTTGAATATAAAAACAAAATACAGGAGAGAAGATTATGAGATAGTGACCTTCAAGTCCTGATCTGAATTCGATCGAAAATCTACGGTCAAGTGTGAAGATGAAATTATAATAAGATGGCAAGCAATATAACAGCAAAGCAGACCTGTGGGAAATATTTAAAACTACCCTGTGGACAATGGAACCTGCTGAAATGAAAACAAAATAAAAATAACAAAATCAATTAATAATAGATCAATGGGTGTTATTGAGAAGGGTCACTATATTAAAATGTAAAGGATTCAAAGATTCTCATGTGTTTGTTATTTGTTCTATTATAGATTTAGATTAATTTTTGATGATTTTTATTAAATTTTATTGAAGTAAAATATGATTATTTGGTTTTGCCATCAAATAGCTTTAATAATTTCAATAAAAAGTATTGATACGACCTAAAATTTTAACTCAGGCATTGTTTTGTAATTTAAATTGGTTGTTTAAAATTTTTTCAGTTTTTTTCTCCAACCAAATTTGAATTATTGAAGTTTATAGGATTTGCTTAATAACTTCAGATGGGATGTAAGTATTGAATGGTACGAAGATTTACGTCAATAAGCTATAATTCTTAAATGCTGTTCCGTCAAATAGCTTTAGGGGTTAAAAGACAGTTCTACTGTGTAAAGTCCCTGGAAATATAAAATTATACACACAATTTCTGTAGTTGAAGGCTTGCATTCAAATTATAATTACTTGAGGCGATAAAATTGTGCTGAAAAGACTTTGGCATTAAATAAGATAAAAAAAAATCAACCAGCTAATAAATATATCCTCTGGTAGCGTGTTACTGATTTTCTCCATGGGGAGGAAATACATTAATTGGCATACATCGGTGCTTGCTTACAGTTCAAAGAGAACAATTTGTCAGATGTGTGGTAATAATTCTGGCTTACATTGATGTGTTTGAAAAGCAAAACCTGGGGGCGCCTGCACAAGTGTAAACATGCAAATGCGCCTTAAAAATGCATTATTAATAGTGGTGAAAATGTGAAAAATAGTGATTTGCGATTGAGAACACGCTCAAGAAAACTTTATGTTGGATCACTTATTAGTTCTACAGAGACCAGAGTTATCGCTTTTGGTTCAATCATATAATTCACGTGAAAATTTGATATTAGTGATATCTATCTATCTATCTATCTATCTATCTATCTATCTATCTAATTCTGTTATTATCTATACCTCTCGATTTTGTCATATCTATCTATGCAATATTTATATTTTAAAAGATAGCGCCAATTATTATTATTATTATTATTATTATTATTATTATTATTATTCATTTGATTTCTGGTGTATACTCATTTTATTCTGGGTCCCGACCAGAGACCTGAGGCCAGAGATGGTATCATAACATTTTCTATTGAGCATTTTTTTTCATGAAACACAACTAAAAAAGCCCTCTGATCACAAATATTTTATATAGATAAAGCCCTTCGTAAGTTGTGGACTGTACTTGGTAGTACATTTTTTTGTATTTCATTAAGGTTTGTGCTACAACGAACCTCTTCAATGTGTCTATCGTAACCTTTTCCAATCATTCCTAAGGCTCCAACTACAACCGCAATTGTTGATGTCTTCATGTACAACATTTCTGAAATTTCGATTTCAAGTTCCTTGTATTTTGATAGTTTTTTGAAGATCTCCAAAGACACATTACAGTCTGCAGGGACAGCTATGTCAATACGTCACATTTCTTTGCTGTCTCTGATCACGATGTCTGTATGTGCGCATTGTAAAGTCCCATACATTTGTTATAGGTTCTATCTCCGTAATCGTTTAATCTCTGTGTGATGTTCATACCAGATTTTTGCAGTTTCTGTAAAAGTGGCAGATTTTCCAATGCAGCTATTGGCTCATTCCGTCATGCCGGTTTTTATATCCAATGGGTGCTAACACAGTGCACCTGATACAAGATGGTCAATTGTTTCTGGATGTTTATCACATAATCTGCATTTTGGGCTAACACAGATTTCAGTATGTGAGTTTGGTAATTTCTAGTTAGCAAGCATCGGTCCTGTGAACTAAGAATAAAACCTTCGGTTTCAGCTTTTAACCCTGCATTACGTAGCCACGGATAGATACGGGGTTAGTCTACATCAGCTGGTTTGGTACCGGTTGAATATTGACTGTGAAGAGGTTTAACCTGGCATCGTTTCTGTATTTGTTCCATTGCATTCGTTTTTGCTTAGTTTTTTTTAAGGTTTTGCCGCTGCAGGAGATGTATTATGTTTTGTATTTCTTTACCCATGTGAAATTCCATTTTAAACTTATTTGCTTTCTTTATTACTGGATACATTTTCTTACTTCTTTCATGTCCTTTGACACAGAGCGTCATCCAGTCTTCTGTAGTTTCAGGTTATCTTTGGAGACCGATTGTGGTAGTTTTGTATAACAGTTCTAGTTGAACTAATCCTCTACCTCTTTCGTATCTGAACACATCCAGACGTTTAACTTGATATGAGGCTTGCGGATTCATGTGAGATGCTTTCCCCTTTTGGCATCCATTCGTTTAATCTCAGCTATGGATCAGTTAAGGATATTCAAACTGTATTGAACCACAGATAAAACCAATGTGTTTATGGTTGATATTATGTTTTTTTGAATTTAACTCGGCATTGAACACCAACATCTAGAGTATTCTTTTCGTAATTTCTCGTTCAATTGGGTATGCTGTAATCTATCTCCTTCGCTAATTACCTATGTACCTATAGGCATTTTCTTGTTCCAGTTTCGTAATCCTTGTAACAGAATCTAGATCTGTTGAGTGTGTTTCTGTATTTCTCCCTTTCTTGAATATTACTTTGCGCATTTATCAAAATCGAAATCAATGTCGTCTCTGAAACATTTTATAGAATTGAGGAGACCCTTCAACTCATTCACGTCTCTGGCAAAGGGTTTGAGATCATTCATGTAGAGTAGGTGAGAAATACTTCCTTGTTTATTTTGCATGCAAAGCTATTATTGTTTAGTTCATGCGAAAGGGTAATTAAAGACATAAAAAACAAAATGGGTGACAGGGAATCTCCTTGGAAGATTCCTTTTCGGATATTCAGGCGGTTGGAAGTGGCAGTGTCTTTGGTGCGATTTAGGTATAAAGTGCTATTCCACATTCCTATGCTGTGTTTAAGGAAATTTACAAACAGAATTATACTCCAAGAGTTTGGCACAATATCAAAGGCTTTACAGTTATCATGCTATTCTGAGATTTCTACCTCCTTTCATGGGATTTTCCAGGGTCATTTTATTTATCAATACTTGATCTTTGCAACCATATGAACCTCTCCAGTATCACTCCTTTTTCAAGGGAAAAATTCTGTTTTCATCGAGAAAAGAAAAATATTCTTTTCGTCGGGGCAAATATGATCAATTTATATGTGGTGGAGAGACATGTTATTGGCCTATAGTTTTTCTGATCATCTATTTCGCCCGTTTTTAGTAAGAGTTAAGTAATATATTCAGTGAGTCTGAGACTTCATCGGGATTATGAATTAGCATTAATAAAGAATGTGCAAGGGTTTTAAGGATTGATAACAGATTATAGAGCAAAGAATTGTATAATTTGTCGTTTCCTGGGTATTTCCATATTTGGAATTTCGTTAGGGCTTTTATATTATTATTCCTGGTTATATTTTTATCATTCTTGTAGAGGTTCTTTGATCTTCTCTTTTGATAGATTCTGGATTAGGATTATTTTTCTCTGTGCTGCTCCAAATATTCTCAAAAAATCTTTGTTCATTTCCAATTGTGACGTCGTCCACCGGTCGCAGCGCCAAATGTGACGTTCTATCCTGATCTACCACGGCGCCAGTTGTGACGTGGCCGTTCCAGGGTCATATCCCGGTCACGACACCAGTTGTGACGTCCCTGAACAGCACCAATTGTGACGTCTTCGCCGCAGCGCCAGCTGTTCGCTCCTCGCTGCTCCGTCCAGGTGTCGCTGCTCCAAACGTGACGTTCGCCTGTCGCGTCAGTCGTGTTGTCTCGTCCTGTGACGACCAACTGGCTTGGTATCGGTCGCGGCACCCAAATGTAACGTTCTAACCTTTTGGTGATTCGGGTGGGAATCTGGTTAGATTTGATATCAGCCTCGCCGTTCCCAACTCGCTTCCAACGCCTGGTTACCAAGGTAACTGCACTGATCTTCAGTCTGCCTACCCACGTTGTGAATTGATCTTAGACAGACCAGATCAAATAGGGGTTGGGGCCGTAATGCAAATTGAGTTCAAGGGGGTGATAACACACAAATATGCATAAAAGAAAATAAAATGAAAACTCAAAAAGTTCAAAGTATCAAAGAAAAAGGTAACAAACTTTATGTCTAGTTGTTCGATACATAGGACTGCATCTATCTCCCGACCCGTTCTGTGGATTGTGACACGTCGCTTTCGCTAGGCAAGTTTTAACGCCTCAAGTTGTTTGCTCTCTAAGAAATTTGTGTTTCGGTGTGTCTTTGGACGAAAGTCGAAAAACTTACTTCTGTGGTCTGGTTCTAAGTCGCTCTTCAAAATAATTGTTCTTGGTTGAAGAGGAGTCCAAAATTTTGCGTGAATCTTGGTCAGCTATCTTGAGGCGGCTTCAACTCTGGAAACTGGAGCTCGAACTTTGGATACTCATCTCTGCCGCCAGGGCCGAACGAACTGTCTTCTGCCCGCCAGGGTCCGAACTGATTTCTGCCTGTTGGGGCCTGGTTTTTATTGACGCCGACAAAAACCGGGTTGGGTCTGTTGGCGTCGGGGAGTTCCTCGATAATTCTAAATACATATCCACCTCTTTTATTTCTGCTTAGGGATTTTCCACTCTTTTCCATTTTTGGTAACTTTTTTTTCACTCCCACTTTCTCGCCATGCTTCTGAGGGGCGTGAACTGCCCTCTCCACTTCTTCGTAGCGGCTTCTCATACTTATACTCTGGATGGGGGCGTCGACAGCCTTCTTCGTGCGTCACGTGATCACTCTCGGCCAATGAGGTCTTGGTCGGGTATCTTTCCTCTTCCTTCGTGCGTCATGTGATCACCACTTGACCAATGACGTCTTAGTCGGGCGTGAACAACCCGCGGCTTTGTTTCGGAAAAAAATACCTTGCTTAACAAAAAAATTAATTATCTCTCCTCTTTCCTCTTTTCTTCCTTTCAAATCGCCGTTATCATGAACGGACAATATGACAACTCTTTGTTCAATACGTGGCGTTTGTCAAGCAGTTTATCGCTAATTCATCAGATGGCTGGTTTTCCGACATGGCCTCAGAAAAGAATTTTCTCAAGTTTTTCAGTCGGTCTGACGTCTCCAAGGAAGAAATAAAAACATTTCTTATTCCATTCATTTTCCTTCGGTTCATGTGTCTGATAACAAAATTTTATTATCGCAGGGCAAAAGTTTGTTTTGTCGAAAAGAGTTTAATTAGCGAAACTGCTTGTGTGGGATTTTAATTTTCCATATCTAGCTAAGGCTCCGAGCTACACCTGTGTTTTGTCAATTATCAAAATCTAACGTTTTCAAGTGGACTTTTTTTGGCGAACATTTCTTGATAACACAATTCCATTTGCGCAGGTCAAGTAGGAAAATCGGTCAATGATTGCTCGCAGGTTGCCTTTAATTTTCATATCTGTCCAAAGTCTTTCTTAGTCGCCTGTTCCTTGTCGTCACTTATCGAAATAACATTTTCGCTTGAATTTTTCCCTTGGCCGGTGGCCTGTGTTTTGATAATAAGATGCCTTCCCGTACTAATAGTTTGTTTTCATATCCTTAGATAACACTTCCCTACCCACTCAATCTAATTGTCATTGTAATGACACTCTTTTCGCCATTTGCCACTTATCCAAAATAACCCTTTTCTTTTTTTATTGCCTCTTAAGCCGTGTGTGTGTGTTCGCTTATCACCTATGATCCGTCTCGCATTACTTTTTCCCTTCCTTTCTTCTTTTCTTTCCTTTTCCCTTTTTGCCTTTCTTTCTCTGCCTGGATGCATGGTGCCACACAATAGACGGCAGATTCTTGACTTCCATAACTGCTTTTCCAATTTCCCTGTAGAACGTCTTAGAGTCCGTTTTTGAATGTTCTTTTTTGTCAATAGAACCTATAACACTTATCATATCTTGTTCTATGTGTCTTTAATTGCATATCTGTTTTCGTATTTCCTAGATTGGTGTAATTTCATTTAATAAGTTAATTTTATATCCCCGCTTCATGGTCCAG